GCAAAGGGTTCAGCATTATGTCATCTAATTAGCAAATACAGGTGCTCACCTTGTGGCTATCAGAATGACAGAGGGATGTGTACAAGAAAGGAACGCACCAATGCATTGCCCACGGCGTACTAGACCGGTACCTAACTTGGAAGCCGCGTGTTACGCCCGATAGATTCTGCCCAGTCTGCGGGGCGACGGTTGATGATGTTCCAGGGACTCTCAATACCGTGCAATGTTCTCGTTCCAGACTGCAGTACGGAGAGAACGAGCGCGAGGCAGAGGGCAGGAACAAACGTCTGCGCGGATCAGGAACAATGCGCAATCAGGCGCTCACCGTGGGAACGCGTCCGTGGCTCTACGGAAAAGGCGAAACCGTTCTTAGTCTGGACACACGTCCTCTTCCCGCGCTCTTTGATGTCTTCCGTAGTTCTGAAAGTACAAGGACAACCGTCGCTCCGCGACATTGGATGCGTATGATGGTCTCTCGCCCATATATTTTCGGAGTTTGTCAAATGGTCCACTGATGACCCCGATGAGGCGTAGTGTTAGTACTCCGAGGGCTTCGAGCCTGTACGCCCAAGTTATTCTGGGCCCCCGGCATTGAACCACACAAGGGAAGGATGTCCGTAAGAATGCCGAGCATGTGCTTGGAATGCGTTATAAGGCGGTCTCCACCCGTCGTCAACTGCAACCAGTGCTCCGTCGTACTGTACCGCCCGCTTCTCGGCGTACTCTCCAGGACCCTGACAACTCGTTCAGCGACTTTCCCTTTGCTCCACGGCTCCTCCGCAGTCTACACTGACAAGTAGATAAACTTGTTCGTCGCTGTTCCATTCCCTAAGCTATTCGTATCTATTCCGTCCACTACCCATCGCTCCTTTCACCACACTCGCACACAATGCACCTCTTTCGCTCCGTCTTCATCGTTGCCGCCGCCGCCATCGCCTTCGTGGCGACCGAGGCTCCGCAGGGTGTGCTTTTTCCTCATGATCTTCAGGCACTGGTACTCATCTGCCTGTCGTGTTAGCTTCTGCCTTTATCCTCCCGATGACGCGCTACATGCTGGACGTTGTCCCAGACGGTGCTGAAGCACCCGACGGAGACGCCACCATAGCGCCGGACGGCAGCGCCACGGCTAACGTGGCGGACAATATATCGACAGACACCGATGTCCCGGTTGCCGTCGACATCCCCGCCGTTGCGGAAAGCCAAGAACAGATCGAAGACGCAGCGGCTGCCTCTGTCAACGATCTGGCCGCGAGTAGCACTATTGCTGCCATCGAAATATCATCCGCCGAACCCACCAGTACACAAATCGAAACCGTAGAGACCGTAGCTGTCTCTTCCGCCATACCAGTGAGTATACCATTAGGTCTATGGATTAGTAACACCCACTGATCCAGCCCATGCAGGCCATACCATCTGTCGTCGCTCCCGACCACATTCTCGCTCAGGCCAATGCCGCCAACCATGTCGCCGCCCTCGGGGGCCCTGGCGTCTTGATCGGCTCCATGGTCGCTGCTCTGCTATTCGTTGTCTGATTGTCTCATGCGCTAGTCGCACACATCCTAGCCCCAGTCGTCCCCTACCTTCGCCCTAATTGTCTTTCATGTGCCTGCCTGCGCTTTCCTGCGAGTTGCTAATAGGCGCATGGAAAGCATGTCTCGTTGTTGACTTTACTAGTACGGTACTCTCTCTGTGACGCGACAGTGTATCCGAGCTCCTTTCCGTCTCCTCTTCCTCCTCCCCCTTGCCTCTCTGTCTCGATAGGCCTATCTGTACTCCCGTGTAGCATGTCATACTCATCACTTCTAGATAGTAACAGCGCGGTCAAACTATCTGCCTCCCCTGTTCCTGTTGCTGTAGCCCGTAGACTCACTATCGCTCCTCACCATGTTATCGTGTTCGAGTTCATCGCACCGCTTTGTGATCAGACCTCGGCCGGATGACTACAGATGCGCGCAGAATGTGCGTGTGTGCTTGCGAAGGCTATCTTTGGGGAGGGGCACACGTGATCGTGGCGTTCGCCGCCTGCGCCGAGCGAGAGCAGCGCCGATGCATCTCTCTCTTCCCGACCCCACCACCATCTACCATCCGACCCAGCACTCTCGCACCACGTCCCCGACACACAAATCGTCCCAGCTCTCCTTGCCCATGGCCTTGCGATAACTCTCACTCAAGATCATCCCTACCAGCACCTCCCTCTCATACCCCGATACCCCGCCATGCATACCAACCACCCGCCGCCCATGCTCAGTCTGACACGGGCGACGGGCTTCCTGAGCTGCATCCTCGTCGCTCTTGCCTCGGGGACGAACTATGTGCGTTCTTAGGCCCCGTCAGGAAAGCATGCCGCCTAACGACCTGCGCAGGTCTTCTCAGGTATGCTCCGAATCCTTATCTTCGCCCCCGCCGGTCTCCGTGCGACCTGCTTCAATAGTATTATCTCAGGGCTCTACACTCGTGCCATTGCGAGGGACCGAGGATTATGTCCCGTAGGCATATTGCGCCATCCCCAGATGGCAGCGGAAAGAGAGGCATAGCTTGAAGCCAAGTCGTAAAGGCTCTCGCCCCGCTACATGGAGCACGTCCTGCGTGCCTTCCACGTAGCAGATTTCTCCGGGTGCTGGCATTGCTGTGTACCGGGCAACGATGATGCCTATTCGACTGCGCATTTAGGCGTCTCATGCTGCTTACCCTGACCCGCTTGACCCGGATATCTCGACCAGCGAGCTTTTTATACACGCACCCATCGCGTTGTTCGTCAAAACGGCTGACGTCTCTTATCATAGCGTACGGCCCGCAACTCGGTGCGCGATTGCAGCTCACGCACACACAGATTAACGTAATAGGTCTCTCCGGGAACAGTGCGTCTGCATACTTGTTACACCACCACGACGTACTTACTCGCACATTTCTGCGTTAGTCGGTGTTTACGGCACGGCTCCGATATGGGGCGGTTTCGTCGATCGGCGCGGTCCGCGAATGCTAATGGTGGTAGCATTCTTTTCACTGCTCATTGGATACCTGGGCATTCGCCAATTCTTCATCAATGGTCTTCCGGAAGGCACAAGCAGCATAGGACTGATGCCCCTATGCTTGCTCGTGTTCTGTGGATTCCTGACAGGCATTGGTGGAAACGGAGGCCTAGTCGGCGCCATGAACGCAACAGCGAAGAGCTTTCCTGACCAGACCGTGCGCATTCAGATAGATAGTCTATCATCTTCCATGGCACTGAGTGAACGTCGTGTTTAGCGTGCAACTGCAAACGGCATCGTCATCTCTGGGTTTGGCCTCTCTGCCTTCCTGTTCTCCACCATCGCGCACGCATTCTTCCCTGGGAATACGGACTCCTTCCTGTTTATGCTTGCTGTCGGCACTGCCATGCCTATGATCCTGGGCTTCTTCTTTGTGCGCCCCATACCGCCACCGCACACTGATCCCACAGGACGACTTGAGGACGGGGCACCAGGCACCCCTACCGAGTATGGCACTGGCGATGGCTTTGGAATAAGCTCCCCCACCACTTACTCGGTCGACAACAGCAGTCATACACATCTTCTCGCGCGGGACATCGACGACGAAGAGGAGGAGCTCGTGCGGGAGGCAGGCATCGAGCTCGAAGAGGAAGAGCCGCTCGCGCCCTCTTCGGCGCATGTGCAGGCCGCGTCAGACTACGTCGTGCCGAGCCAGATGGACTCCGTCGCACTCAGCCCGGGCGTGGCACGCCACCGCTCCCACAGCGCCCGCTCAGTTTCAAGGAGCCTGCGGAGCCACATGGGGAAGACCTTGGATGGCCAGCCAAACGTTCACGGGAAGCGTTTGTTCAGGAGCTTGGACTTTTGGTTGCTGTTTGCCATTTGTTCTCTGCGTAAGGCTGCCGCTTTCTCGTCTTCTGCAGGTGTAAACTGATCCGCTATGAACTTCAGTGAGCGGCACCGGGCTGATGTGTACGTTCAGTTTGCGCGCGGAAGTGTCGTTCGGAACGTTGACGATCAGCAGATATCAACAACGTTGGCGCCATCTCGCAGGCGCTCTTCGCGAACAACAACCCTGATTACGATGAGGTGAAGGCCGCGCAGTGGCAAGCAACGCAGGTCTCTACTGTGAGCGTGATGAACTGCCTTGGCCGCATCGCAATCGGTCCGTCCCTCTTTCCTTCTGCTCCCTTCGCTCTCCCATAACCGCCCTGCGCAGGTGTCATCGCGGACTTTACGAAGGGCAAGCTGCGCCTGCCACGCTCGTTCTGCGTCGTGCTCGTCGCGACCATGTTCATCATCTCGCAAGTGACGTGTTACTCCATTGACAGCATCGGCGACCTGTGGAAGGCGAGCGCTCTCCTGGGAGTCGCGTACGGCGGTCTCTTCGGTCTCTTCCCGACGCTCGTCATCGAGTGGTTCGGCCTGCGTGAGTGTGCACCGTTGCTGGTGGGCCACAGACGCTGACTGCGCACGCAGCACACTTCTCCGAGAACTGGGGCTTCGTCTCGCTCTCACCCATGCTCGGCGGGAACATCTTCTCCCTCGCGTTCGGGCGCAATCTCGACTCGCACGGCACAGATGATGATGCCTCCCCCGCTACCAACGGCACGCTCTCCGCGCGCTTCTCCTCGAGCTCCAACCCCATCTCATCTGTGACGGGCGGGATCTACGCACGCGGCGGACTGCCGTCTTCGCACCACTGCATCATCGGGCGCGAGTGCTACGTCGACAGCTTGAAGTTGACGATCGTTGCGTGCACTGTCGCGCTCGGGCTGGGTGTTTACGCGAGCTGGCGTGACCTGAAGAAGCATCGGCGGCGTGCGATCCGAGCGGAGGGTCTCCCCGCGGTAGTCGTGTGGGAGGACGAGGAGTAGAGCGGTGCACGTTCGCCATGGGTTTAGAGGCCAGCACTGAAGTACATACTGTCGGTAACAAGTGCAATAGCGTAGATAGAAACCTCGCCTTGAGTCCAAATCAGCTGACTATAGTCGCATCTGTCCAGGAAGGGTGGCAAAAACATAACCCAACTACCCCCGGCGGGACTCGAACCCGCAACCGCCAGATTGATCTACATCGTCATAGAAGTCTGGAATCATAACCATTAGACGACGAGGGCGGCATCCAGCCTAGTGCTTGTTGAACACATAATAAGTACGTGGTAGGACAAGGCTCCGCTCGTATAATGCCAGTCACTATCAGTTACATGATAGCGGTACTGTTCCTCCATGCCGTGCGGTGGGTATGTACCAGCTCGGCGCTGTGGAACGGAACCAACGACAGTTTCAACTAGCCTATGCTGCCCATTGAACAGCCCGCCATTCCTCCCCTACGGGTTCTTCCTGAAACCCATCAAGTACTCCATGATATGGAACGCAGCCTGAGCCAGATACTATCGTCAGTATCTGGAAGCAAGACCATCTAGCGGCGAACGACATATTCCTCACCTTGGGCGAGAACTGCGGCACCCTACAGTGCGAGTCCCCATTGTAAACGGAATCATACATCCGAAGGAGATCTGATCACGTACATGTGTCCGCTCAAGGCGACTTCAAAGTAGGTCAAACCGCGCTCGCTGTGCGCCGTTCCGAGCGCGCCCATCCCGTCGACGATCAAGCTGTCGGGCTTGATGGGCTCGTGGAAGCCCTGCTTGCCATTCCCTGCGTTGTCAAAATGAGCTACTCGGCCAATGACATGAGCGTGCTTCGTGAGCCCCTACGCACAGGTCATGCTACAAAAGGGCCATCCAATGAGCTTGCGTGCGTGAGCTTCGATGCAACCAATTACGCACTTCTGGATAACGACGCGCGTGCCCTCCGCGATGAGGATAAAGTCCGCCAGCCCGTGCACGATCACCGCGCGCTCGCTCTTCTCGATCACGCTCGGGAGGATCGTGAACGCGGGCGGGTCAGAGCGGTCCCCGCGCGGGAAGACGTTGATGTCCGAGCACTCTTCCCAGGTGACGTTCAGTGGCGCGTGGATCGCGCGCTTGACGTCCTCGCGGTCGAAGTAGATTGGGCTCTGCGATTGGAAGAACGAGCCGCTGCGAGGGACGAGGCTGAGTGTGAGCGGAGGAGTAAGCGATGATCAAAAGATGCTCACGGGAAACCGAGGACGTCCCACAAGATCGGCCACTGCAAGATGCGCAAATTGTGTTTAGCACATGTTCGTGGGTTTACCTATAAGCGAAGGGCGCACCGTGTCGAAAATTCGGTAAATATTGAATGCAGGGTTGACAAGGACCGCGGCATCAAAGATCTCGTCCCAGAGATCGCACCCCGGATCTGCCTCGACACTCTTACCTGGGAGTGGAAGGAGCCCCTTGGGAGGATATGTAGCGTGCTTCTCGACGTAGCCCGTATATCCGCAGCGTGAGGCCGCGGCATCCAAATGTGTCATGAAGGTCTCGCTTTGAGTCGGGGCACTGTCAGTGGCCAGCGCCGCCAGTGGCACAGCGGGCAGAGACGTACTTGAACGAGAAGACGTTTTCGTACTTGTGAACAAAGTCCACAGCGGGAATTTGGGTCTGGACAACGTCCCAGCCAAGGACAGCTGAAGGACAGCGCGACTATAAAAACATGATGCTCCACGGATCGATAGATGTGCTTACGATCAGACACCCAGAACCCAGTCATCTTCAGGTTGAGAGCTTTGGGGTGCTCAAAGATGTAGTTTGTGATGTCTTCCACAGTGCGGTCAGCTTCATATCTCACCATTTTCCTACATAGCGTGCTCACATGGGACATACATCCCCGCATACTGTATATTGCTTAGCACACGTCAACACAAATCAGTACATGAGACTTACGCTCTCGCCAGTAACGTAGAGCTTCTTTCCCTGCAGCTCCTTGAACACTTCCAGGAACTGCTGCATGAAGCCGACAACCTCTGCCGCGACCTGGTCCTCGTTCTATCCGGAACTCGGCATCAGTCTTCCTTTATGCGCGAATGAGATTCCAGTGTACACACAGCAACATCCGGTTTGCCTTGCGAGAAACCGGTGCCGACGGGCTGCTCGACGAACAATATGCTTGACAGGTTCGTCCAGCTAAACTCGTTCTGCGTCGGGTGCGCCTGGCCGTACGACCACTGGAACGGCTACACAAATGTAACGTGAGTCTTCGCATTAGCCATACAAGATGTGACGAAGACTTACTCCATTCTCCTGCAGAAGGCCTTCGAGGGATGAACACCCCGGACCTCCGTTAGTCCTGCACGCCGTATGAGTAAGCTCATACAAATTGCGTTGGAGCCATCACATATACGGTTTTCCTCTCAACCGGACGCGGACTGAGAGCACCGTGCCGCCAGACACGCTCCTCCCCAGCAAAAGTACGAGATGAATGGTTGAGTTGGGAGGACACCCACCAGAAAATGAGGTCGTCAGTGCTTCCTTGCGGGCCGGGCGGGAAGAACCAGAAGAACAGCTGCGTTCCGGTGATAGTGCCAGGTGGACCAAGGGAGGTCGTACATTTTCAGAGGATGACAAAGGGATTTGCAAAAGGTCCGAAGGTCGCCATGTGCACCATAGCATGCAGATCAAAGAGGAGGGGAATATTGGCAAAAGGAGTGCAGGGAAGGTGGTAGTTAGACTCCGTCCGCGATAGCGACATCGTGACACTGGCCTCACCTTGCGGGTTTCGTTTGGGGCGCTGCTAATCGGCAACAAGCCCGACCAGCTGGGACCAACATCCCAGTCCACGTCAGGAATAGACGTTCCATCGACGTAGAACGCTACGAGAAATCGAGCCACGCATCAGTCAAAGCGTGTGCAAGACGACGAGGCCCGTACCTGACGCGCGGGGGTTTGAGAACGTGAAGTTTTTCACCCCGGTGCGGGACGGAGAGCTGGCAGCGCGCGGAAGGTTGGCCTTGATGCGTGCCGCAGCCTCGGATTGCCTCGCATGGAGTTCAGCCTTGGACATGAACCTGGCATCCACAAGGACGCTCAACCCCGCCAACGCTGCGACGCAGAGGAGCCGGGATAGCGAGCGTACAAGCATTGCGGTGGTGGTGCGCTAGCGTGCAAGTTGCGTCGACGCCGCCAGGGCTTGTGGTAAAAGGGATGCGCAGAGGCTGAGGACGACGCGTTGTGGGGGCTCCTCGTCTGTCGTCCTAGGGTTTATATATGCAGCTAGAAGTGTCCAAATCAAATCTGATACACATTTGGCATCCGGGCGGACGGAAAGAGCGCAAACAACGACTGTTCGAAGAACAGTACCGGGGCGTTGTACGGCGGCAGAAGAGGAGCATGTGGCCTGCGCGTCATCTCGAGATACGATGGAAGGAGTATTGCTGTGATGAAGCTGATCAATCTCCAACATGTCTTACGACACCGTGCCACGCGTTGGTCTTCTTATCGAGCTATTCTCGGGAGGGCGGGCATCCAATTCAGGTCGTACCCCCGCCAACGTCGGCTGCACGGACTGGATCAGGACATCAAGCGTGCGCATCACCATAAAATGTGTTTACTATCTCAGTTTCACAGTCGCTCAGCGAGTGAGAATCGTACCCTCAGCGACTGCGGCGCAGGGCCTGGGAGGAAGATGTACGTACACAGTGGCTCACCGCACGGCTCATCAGGCGCGTGCATGACAGCTGCATGTGCAGCGTTCGGAGAATTCGCAGAATGAAGCTTTGAGGTTCGAAGTCGAGTCATGGACATGGAATAGACGAGCTCGGCGCCGAGAACCAACACAGACCACTCCCTCCTCGAGCACCTAGTCACAGAACACGCGCACGCGGAACCCGCACAAGCGCCAGCAAGACTCTAGAGTGCCCTCGCAACTTATCCTTTTTACGCCTATCGGCAGCCGGCCGGTATTTGTTTTGAGTGGCGAGAACATTTGAACGCACACGATATTGGAGCGAAACATCATCTGTGCGCAGGGACCTCTTGTATCGAAGGAAAAGCATACAAGACCAGATCGCCCTACGGGCTCTCCCTGAAGCCCATCAAATACTCCATTATGTGGAACGCGGCCTTGTGAAAAGAATTGTCAGAGACATAGCTCAATATTTCTTCCCTCAAATTGCATCTACCTTGGGAGAGAATTGCGGGATCCTGCAAAATCGGCACAACTATCAGGAAAAGTACACGATGTGGCAAGAACGGCGGGGTCCTACATGTGTCCGCTGAGGGCAACCTCAAAGTACGTCAGGCCACGCTCGCTATGGCTCGTACCAAGCGCACCCATCCCGTCAACGATGAGGCTGTCGGCCTTGATTGGCTGTTGGAAGCCTTGCTGGCCGTTCCCTGCGTCATATCGTTCAGCTTCGTCCACATAGTAGCTCTCAAATATCTCACACGTCATACTGGCAAGGATGGACAAATCAGCGTCGTATTAGATCCAACGACATGCGCCTCAGACTCACTTTTGTATCACGATCCGCGTCCCCTCCGCAATGAGAATGAAGTCCGCAAGACCATGCACGATCACCGCTCGCTCGCTCTTCTCGATTACCTGAGGGAGCACAGAGAAAGCCGGTGGCGGGGAGGCATCGCGATGCGGGAAAACCCTGATGTCCGAGCACTCCTCCCAGGTCACGTTCAACGGCGCGTGGATAGCTTTTTTCACGTCTGTGCGATCGAAGTAGATCGGACTTTGTACCTGAGGGAACGAGCCACTGGTATAACGCTGTGATGAATATCACATGTTGTGTGAGCAGGCCTGAAGGTAACATACGGGAATCCAAGGACGTCCCACAGAATCGGCCACTGCCCGGGAGCATGATCAACGAGTCTGTATGATCCTGTTGGACTGATAGCGTACCGTGTCGAAGATGCGATAAATGTTGAAAGCAGGGTTGACCAGAACAGCAGCATCGAATATTTCATCCCATACGTCGCATCCCGGATCCGCATTGGTGCTCTTGCCGGGAAGCGGCAACAAACCTTGAGGGGGATACGTGACGTGCTTGTCGAAGTAACCCGTGTATCCGCAGCTTTCCGCAACAGAGTCTAGGTGTGCCATGAAGCTTTGGCTGCATATCCGAAGTCAGTGGAGGTTATCGCGATCCAATGGAATAACTTGAGACGTACTTGAACGCAAATACGTTCTCGTATTTGTGTACGAAGTCGACTGCCGGTATCTGTGTCTGTACGACGTCCCAACCAAG